AGTTAGGGGCAGGGGGTCCCAGGAGGGGGTAGTCAGGAGACAAGGAACGGGGGGAGGGTTGGGAGGTCAGGGGGGGGCGGGAAGTGGGAGGGGCAGGGGCGGGGCTAGGGCGGGGCTCCTCCCGTCCTCTTTTTTGCTCGCTGAAATATGGTAACCCTACCACCAACAGCACTGCTGGAGCTCAGGAAAAAGCAGGGCTGAAAGTGGCTCCCGTCCACATACAGGGCAGAGCCCCCCCCCATACCCATGGGGAGGGCTGTGACCCCCTTGCTCCACCGGGAGGGCAGTAACTCCACAGATTAGATGAATTTTAGTATAATGCACCCATTGAATGGGGGGGGGGGCTACATCCTCATCTCATGTATTGATATTCACTACAGGGGCTTTTGATCTAATGTTAAGTCTTTGATCCTACAACTGACTTTCTGCAAGTGGACGCCTGCACCTGCACCTGCATGGAGTCCCCAGTGATGGCAGTGGAGCTCAGTCTAGGTATGGGGGTCTGCTGCGGGAATCAGTGGCAGGATTGAGGCCTAAGATTTTCCTAGTGCCCCTTACAGGGGAACTGGTAAAGACCTGTTGATTTAGGTTGCCTAACACTTTCCATTTTAAAAGATTATTTTCTTTGAGAAGCATTAATAGCTCTATTGTTTGCAGCAGGCCTTTGATAGTCAGCAGGGAGAAATCCCTCAGGCCACAGAAGTGCCTTTTTTTTTTTGCCTAGTGAAATTCCATTCAGATTTAGGTGAGTTGTAAAGTGTTAAATGAAAAACAATCCCAATTTTCTTTTTCTTACTGGCATTCCACAGAAAAGTATTGGCAGCCTGCCAAAAATCAATCACTATTCTAGACACCCTGGTCCATGCTGCCACCAAAGCAGCTGCAGCAGCCAACACTGTTCTGGGAACATTTGGGAGCTACCAAAGCAACTGCAGGGGGGAGAGCCAAGCTGGCCCCTCCCCCCATCAATCCCTCCAATCTCACCCCACTTCAGGGGGCACCATATGCATCACAAGCTCCCCCAACTCCTGGAGGATGGGGGATGAGAGAGACAAGCTGGGATTCCCACAAAAACCCCTCTTGACCCAGCATAGGGCCCCATCAAATCAAACCTCCTCTGGGGGCACTACATGGGGCAGGTACTCCCCTGATTTTTTAGGACAGGAGAGAGCGAGCCAAGCTGGACTCCAACCATAATACATAGGCACTGTAGCTCAAGTGGTAGATGTCTGTGCTGCAGTGGTGGAGGTTCAGATGTATAGATTGGAACTTGGTCAAAAAGTGCATTATTTTAACAAAAAAAATGAAAAACTTTTTTGGCCTTTGTTTAGTTAAATACCTCAAAGATTCCATCTCTGGTAGGCATCTAAATTAGAAGTAAAAGATCCTATAACAATTTCTGAAACAATTAGGTGATAAGAGGCAGGTCTGAACTTGGTGGCTAATTCAATTAGGACTGGAATGGGGACAAATTTTTCTCAAAGGAGGGTTCTTTATTGTGGAATTCCTTCCCAGAAAAAGTCTGCCAAAACCCCTCCTTAGTTGCCTTTAAGGTATACATCAAGTTTTCATTTATTTCAGCTGGCCTATTTTTGGCTGTCTGGGCTCCCTCCCCTTGCTTTTATATCTGCTACTCTTGTTTCTCCACTCTTCTTATTGGTCAAGAACTGATTGCTCTGTAGGTTGGGTGATTTGATGGATACTAGGTTTGTTCTAGGTTTTAATGGGTATGACCCTGTCCCAGTTTTTCTGGAACTGTATATCCCTGTACATTTTAGTTGGAGAGCTTATTCTTTTTTAGGTTTAAAAAAAGGTATTTTATTGCATGGCAGTAGCTGTCTCATTACTGGCACCTTTATAGGTGAATAAAAAACTAAATAATACTGGAGTCACGGCCAACATTTTTTATTTAACAGGTTCTAATAACCATGGCTGCATAGAATTATTTCTGAAAACTAGTCACCACTTCTAGTGCCCAAATGATTATTTTGAAATACTTTGTAATCTCTCAATTATAATGAGTGCTATCTGAAACCAAGATTAGTTCTCTGAACATCCTTTTCACTATTCTATGAATGCAAACAATTATTGAATTGTAATCACCTTTAAACAATGAAAAAGGTTTTAAAATTATATTAATTTACAAAACACATCATAGCTTAAAGCCAAAGTAAACTACTTGAAAGACACTTAAAATTACTCTAGCATATATTTGAAATATACTTAACATCACTAACTAAAGGCAAAAGACACTTGTTAGAAATATTGTAGACCAGATGCATTATGAAAAATAAATGTTTATCTAATAAAAAAAAATAGCAATGCATAATCTACCAGATCAAACCCTTTGTCTAGTGTACTGGCTCAGAATTTTGCCTCTGAGGGATAGCTTTGTTTCTTTTGTATAGACAGACTAGAAGAGCACACAGATTAATGAAATCCAATACCTTCTTGTCGGATGAGTTAGTCATCTAAGTATCACATATTGAACATATAGCAAAACCTTTCAGGTGTACTATCATTTATTCAGATAAAATAATTTAGTATATTTAACAAATATATACACAATGTTACATACAAAATTTGACAAGTGAAAATAATGCAGACTCTTCGTAAATTTCATATATAGTTAAAATAATGAACTCTTCCAGGACTACTAAATAGGTCCTAAAGTAAAATCCAAGAAAATGCATTTTTCTTAAACAGCAACCTGAATTCCCAAGCCCATTGCAATTTCTATTAATTTTTCCTTTGTATTCAATGTCATTGCTTCATCAAGTTCAGAGGGAGAAGCAGAGTTTTCAAATGACTGTGGTGTAGTTTGAAGTTCAAAATACATTGGCTCCATTATGGAGGTCTCTGATTCTACCATAACCTTTTCCGCAGTAGTTTGTGACCATCTCTGACATCTTGTGGTATGTAGTTCCACTGATGAATGGCTTCTTTTGCAAGAGGCATAGCTGTCTTTTCCAGTACTGTTTTGAACTACTGAAGACTTCTTTGGCGCCATCTTGTTCTCAAGACCCTGATCTAAACCCATGACAGCATTATAAACTGCTACATTCAGCCTCAAGTACCCATCATCATCTTCTTTGTATCTAAGAGAATAAAATTAAAGTAATGAAAATAAAAATTAATGTAGCTTTATATAGATTAGAAAGGCAAAGGCACAAAATGAGCTCAAAGTAGCTACAGGAATAAAGGGAAACAAGACGACTTATTATCAATACATTAGAAGCAAGAGGAAGACCAAAGACAGGGTAGGCCCACTGCTCAATGAAGAGGGAGATACAGTAACAGGAAACTTGGAAATGACAGAGATGCTTAATGACCTCTTTGTTTCGGTCTTCACCGAGAAGTCTAAAGGAATGCCTAACATAGTGAATGCTAATGGGAATGGGGTA